TTATTAAATTATTAGGTTTTAGAATGTAATATTTTTTTTGATAATTTATTTACTTTCTTAGAATGCAGAATATGAAGTTATAGATGACAGTCAAGAACACTGGTGGAAAGTGAGAGATGCTCAGGGGTATGTATACATTTTTAATTTTTTAAACACTATGTATATACGTAGGACATTTTACATTTTCCAACATTAAAAATTAAAGAACTTCTAATTATCAATAATGTTTCTTTTTTGATTATTTTTTATAGTTTATAAATATAATAGCTGTGGTAACTTTCGTTGAGGTTCGACAATATTTTCACATAATTTTTACTGGAAATCTTTTTTAAAGTATTTAAATGTCTTTCACATTAAGTATCCTTTATTTTTCTTATTTTTTTTTTATTTCAGTGTAATATGCTTATCTACAATTCATATGTACATAAGGCGTTAGAAAATAGTTAAATGTATCAATTTTTATCTCTTATCTTAATCATACATAACAAACATGCTTTAACAAATTTCTGTATCTACTAAATGTACTATCTAAATTACATATTTCATCATTATGCTTCATCCACTGTGTTTTGATAGTTCTTTCTTTTTCTGCAGAAATATTGGCTTTATACCCAGTAATTATGTGAAAGAAAAAGAATTACTGGGTCTACAGCAGTATGAGTAAGTAGTCACCGTTTTCTTATGGGTGTAAAACCGCTAAATTAATATTTTACTTTCAATTTTGTAGTTGGTATGTTAATGACATGTCTCGACAAAGGTCAGAATCTTTGCTGAAGCAAGAAGATAAAGAGGGCTGTTTTGTTGTTCGAAATTCTTCTACGAAAGGGCTGTACACATTATCTTTATACACTAAAAAGTAAGTCGAAAAACAACAGTAATTTCATTCGCACTCTCTCGTATATGTATCACAAAATGTCATCGTTCCGAAGACTAGGTAAACACACCCCTTCACTTCTGTCTATTTTAAACAAATCGTCACATTTCTCGAATACTAGAACATCCTTAATTCCCAACTATTTGGTAACAGTAACCTAATGTAGGTACCCCTCATTACTCCAGGTTAACATCACTTAAGTGTGTATTCTGACTGACATTATTACTTAAGCGGTTGTTTTGTAAATAATGAGAAGGTCGTTTTTTCTTGTTTATGAATTAAGTAGATTAATGCAGTTTGATTTTTCATTACCATTGTTTAATTTTTAGTCCCCATCCCCACGTCAAACACTACCATATTAAACAGAATTCGAAGGGAGAGTATTATTTGTCTGAAAAGCATTGCTGTGCAAGTATCCCAGATCTCATTAATTACCATCGACACAATAGTGGAGGTTTAGCGTCTAGATTAAAAGCGAGTCCCTGTGATAGATCAGTTCCTGCCACTGCAGGACTTAGTCATGGTAAATTTAATTTGAAGTTTAACTGCAAGATACTTGGTTCCAGGCGTGGTATTTAATTAATTTTTTTCTCTTCTAGATAAATGGGAGATCGATCCCCAGGAGCTTATGCTATTAGAAGAACTAGGATCTGGCCAGTTTGGTGTTGTAAGAAGAGGAAAATGGAGAGGCTCGATAGATGTAGCTGTTAAAATGATGAAAGAGGGTACCATGTCGGAAGATGATTTTATAGAAGAAGCCAAAGTTATGACGTAAGGAAATTTTATATTTTAACTTTTCATGATTTTCTTCATCAATTTTTTTTTGCATTCAGAAAATTACAACATACGAACCTTGTGCAACTTTACGGCGTATGCAGTAAAAATCGACCTATATTTATTGTCACGGAATATATGCGGCATGGCTCGTTACTGAATTATTTACGTAGACATGAACAATCACTTGTTAGTAACCAGGGTTTGCTTTTGGACATGTGCATACAGGTAAAAATAGACTGATTTAGATTTGACGCTATCTTACATCTTCTTTGAAAGTTATAGCATATTAGTGAAGATACTTTCCTTTTAAAATAAATAAGCAAACCATTAAAAAGGTTCTTTTAAGAACAAAATGATTTTTCTTCTAGGTATGCAAAGGAATGGCTTATTTGGAAAGGCACAATTATATCCACCGAGATTTAGCGGCAAGAAATTGTTTGGTGGGTTCGGAAAATACTGTTAAAGTGGCGGATTTCGGTCTGGCAAGGTACGTTCTCGACGATCAATACACTTCATCCGGCGGAAGTAAATTTCCGATCAAATGGGCTCCCCCCGAAGTGCTCAATTATACCAGGTTCTCATCCAAATCGGACATTTGGGCGTACGGTAAGATTATAATACAACAAAATAAATACACTTTCAATAGATAATTTATTGATGTTTTAATTACTTTTTTTGTTCAACAGGGGTGCTTATGTGGGAGGTCTTCACTTGTGGGAAAATGCCTTATGGCAGACTAAAAAATGCCGAAGTCGTAGAAAGGGTCCAGAAAGGCCTGATTTTAGAAAGACCTAAGAACTGTTACAAGGAAGTATATGATGTAAGTAATAGTAAGAGTCGCATACATAATGATTTTTATTGTTTTTCCTATCGATATGTGTACAGCATGTCCCTTCACGACCTTAAGGTAAAAGAGTATAATATATTGGTAATACAGACTGTCTTTTTAATTAAGTTATTTTCACTTCTGAATTAAGTCATGTTACCTTACAAATATTAAATATAAAAGGTTATTTTTTTATACTTTTATGAATTTGTTTGGTTTATTTTTTATTTTAAATGCAATTTTATTTATTTCATCATCACATCTCTTGTGGTTTATTAATATTAATCAGGATTAAGATTTGTTTCTTTTCCTCATGTTTAAGATTATTATAATGACTTAGAATGAAACGACCTTTAAACTTTCACAAATTTATTTGATAAAGTCACATCCTTGCCGTATTGTATTAAAAAAAAACTGAGTTTAAAATCTTTATGGAAATTAATATTTCACACTTCAATTCACAATCGATTGTTCTTAGATTATCATTTTCATTTATATTCGTTTTAGATCATGCGGAAGTGTTGGAGTCCAGTTCCCGAAAATCGACCCTCATTCAGGGTTCTAAAGGAACAACTTATTAGTGTAGCTCAAGGTCTACTGGTCGATTGACTGGCCCATATGCTCTGCGCAACTGACGGCTGTACGTCGTCATCGGCGTCCAATTGCGATACATGTAGCAATTACGAGCAGGCCGTGATAAATATTTGCGATACTTTGCGTAGAAACACTTTGAAAAAAGTGACGAAAAACACGAAAGTGTAAAAAAGTCACCAATACGCTCGTTAATCGCGCTGATAACCACTGCCACGCTAGCAGACGTAAATGCAGCATGATTCAAATTCCGTTTGTCTGAAAACTTACAATTTTTCCTGAAGTCAACAATTAGGCTCGAAGTAGTGAAAATGTAGTAAAATGTAAATTTGGATCAGTCTGCAAACATGCAAGTCCTTTATAGATATAGAGTATCAAAGAATGGAAGATTAAGACAAAAAAGGCAATTATTGAATTTATAAGGATATAAAAATTTAATTCAGTGTAAGTTTAATTAACTGAAACTTTCGAGTTTTATGATAATTTTACGTTATCGTACATATTTGATATACATTTCAATAAAAACGACTGATTTTAATAATGTGGGAACACAATAAAATAAAGTGTTGATGACTGCAACCGCCATAAAATTTAAGGCGAGTTTTAAATAGCACTTTTGTCTAATTAATTTTTCATGTCCATAACATAAATAAAAAGTAAGATAATCTTTTTTCAACGCTAAAATACAAATTTAGACCAAACTTGCTTAAAATCCAATATGAAGAAGACTGCAGGAATTTGAACTGACTTATATAGTTTTAATACTTTTGGTATTTGTAATTATGATAACTTGGTGAAGCAACATTATAGGTTGTGATAGTTGCGTGAAACAATAGCGTATTATTAACGAACCTTATCGATTCTCCATATTCCCCTGAAGAATTTACCTGGTAATTATTAACCCTTAAAAAAAGCCTTACAATGGAACAGAAAACATAATAATGTAGTTTTGTCATTTACAGCCGAAAGATTTCCAATTAATTTGGGAATAACGATTAAGACTCATTTTTTAATAGCTTTCATAATAATTGATTTACGACGAAAGTAATTTCGTTAAAAAATAGTGCATTTAACGTTTAACTTCAATGAAATAAGTAACGATTAATCGTTAGTTGCAGTGCTTATTTCTATATTTATTTATTTAAGAAAGACATTTACAAATAAACGGATATCTTTAAAATCCTTTAATTTTTAAATGATTTCTTTAAATTGACTATTGGTAGTGTAAATAACTTATTCTCATCTAGATTATAAAAAGTGATATTTTAATCGTAGTTTTGTGATATTTTAGTTTTATTTAATACAAGGTGATTCATTTTTACGATGTGACATTAAAATCTTTATTATTATGAGAAATACTTACCATTTTCTTCAAAAAAGATATTAAAGGCGTTTATTTTAATAGTGAGGGTGAAGATCTTGTAAGGTCAGTTTTAAATATATAATTTTTATTGGTACTTTGTAGTCCACATTTTTTTTTTTTCACAAATTTAAATCACCCTGTACATGTATTTAGGCGTGCTGAATAACTCAGCACTGTAAATTAGAAAATTATTTTTTGTAGTGCATAGTTAATGAATGGAAATCTCACAAATGAGTAGCAAATAAATATTTAAATGTTGAAAACTGGTAGTTCTAAATGAGGCAGAAAATTTTCCACCGTTGTCATACAGGGATCCAAAATGTTTTTGTACTAAATATTAGCATGAATGTAACGTTAGAAACTTTTGTGTATACATTTAAAAAATAAGAATGTTTTATTGAAAAAAAATATTTAACGAATGATGATTACAAACATTATCTAAAAAAATTCATACGCCGGACCGATTCACCGCGCATCGCTTGCGCGGTGCAACGGTCGGTGTTTGTCATATGATAATTTAAAGAAAATAGTTATCGATTGTTTTTGCGTGTTCGAATCAAATACCATTGTAGAAAGGGTTTTCTCTGTAATCAAAGCTATGATTAAGCGTGGAAACCGCTTCCGCAATGACTATGCAGTCAGTGTAAGAATATGGCCAGAATCCATGGCAGAATTATGATTTGGGCTGAAAGGTCTTAGTCTAAATGAAGGTTCGTCGACAACTGTAAGTGACATTTTCAGTGGTCCTGCATTGTTAATGTGAGCGATGGTTATACTGATCCTGCAGCGACTCAATATAACCTTCTTCCACTGAAGATGTCAACGGCAGCTGTCGGCGAAACGTCTTGACCTAACAGTTCATTTACACCACCACGGCCCTTCAGTCCGAATCATAATTCTGATATACGTAATCAGTCTTAATGAAAGATGACTTTTTTGACGATGAAAAGTTGTTAGAAAAAATACATTCAAGTCAAAAATAAAACGCTAAGTAAACAAAGTTTTTTAATACGTACGTTAATCAGTAATTATTGTAGGTATTATTTAATTAGAAAGTAGAAAAACTTCATTTATCAAGGTTCCGTTGTATATTCTATAACAATTATGAGTCTAAACATACCTCATATATTTTTACATTCACCAATACAGAAAAATGGTGGTTGAATATGAAGAAAAGAAAATATGTATTACATTTTCAAAAATTTGCTAATAGTTTGCATTTTATATTATGTACACTGTTCTATAGATAGGTAATTGAAACGCATTCAAACTTTTAGATATAATCTATCATCTCAGTTATTTATATGTTTATTCTAAATTAACTCACAGACAGGTTAGTGAAACTTTTTATTTACTTGTTATTTTTAAACGAAATGAGATGTCTTGAGCTTAGGTAAGTACTGTAATTTTTTAATCATTAATTATCGCAACCAATCAATTAAGTACGTAAATTTTACAGTAAAAGCATGTAAGGAATTAAATTTCCTACGCATGTTGATGCAGATTTCATATCTACACTTGAGAACTTCCAGATTTTATGATCATCCTGTTTTCAATTAGTGGAGTTACTAGTGAGTTCTTAAAATTCTCATTCTTGCGCTTGCCGAATTTACTTCGGTTGAATTAAATTTTTAATATTTGAAAATCTTTACCTTCGGTTTTCTATTCATGTCTGATTCAAGGCAAAATATTTTAAGAATAAAGACAAACTTTTCTTTTTGCTCTTTTAATAAACTGCAAACGGTTAGTTTTCTAATCAGAAAATTCGTTAAACTTTATACTTATTGCAAAATAATATAGCCGACCTTCTATAACGACATTTCAACAGATTTTTTCATTTCAATCTGCACGAAAATCGTGAAATACGTATTAGCGTTTTATGCTTATTGTTTTTACTTGCCT